TTAATGAATAATAAAAACAACAGAGGACCCAAAACAGATCCCTGCGGAACACCATGTTTAATTTCCTTAAGTGACGAGGTAAAGGACTTAGAATAACAGGATACATGGTCCTGGTGATAAATTTCTACATATTGGAATCTCTTCGTTAGATACGAGGTCATCCACTCATGGATTTTTCCTCTAAGCCCATACAAGTCCAATTTAGTAAGTAACCGGTCATGGTTTATTACATTGAAGGCTTTTGTAAGATCTAAAAATAGGCCCATGGCAAATCGTTTTGAATCTAATGTTGTCAAAATGTCCTCAAGAAAAGACTGGATAGCAGTATAGGTAGATTTATTAGCTCAGAAACCATTTTGGGCACTAGAAATCAAATTATATTTATTTAAAAAACTTATAACTCTATTGTGTATTAAAGTTTCAAAGATTTTTGAGAATGCAGGAAGAATTGAAATTGGTCTGTAATTAGTAATATCTTGAATTCGGCCCTTCTTTAGAATAGGCCGTACTTTGGCAATCTTCATCAAATTTGGAAAGGTACCTGTGTTTAATGAGAGATTAAATATGAAAGTTAACGGTTTATTTATAAACTGTATGCAGTGTTTAATTAATGATGCCGGAATCTCATCAAAACCAGACGAATACTTATTTTTTAGTTTACCAGTAACATTTAGTACCTCCTCTTCGGTAATAGGAGCCACAAACATCGTATTAGTATTCCGAGGTATTGTATTAGCAGGGACACGCACCTGTCTAATATCCTTTGTATGGGTACACATCCTATCAACAATCTCTATGAAATGATCGCATCATAGAAGATAGAAATCTCCATATCTACCACTGTGAGAATCACAAATAATGTACTAAAAGATGATAAAATATCATTGTTTTTTTTATCCTTAAAATATGACCTGTACTTTACACAAACCTCAAGTCAAATTGTATTAATTATATCCAAAAAGTCGCATCATACAAAAAATGTATTTGTGAACTGGGTTTCATTTTGGTCTATCCAGCCTTAATTTGAAACATAACTGGTGAACATTTACTGAAAAATAATTTTTGGTTGTGTATAGTGTAGTTATTTTTGAGGTATATCACACTTAAATTTTAGATGTGAGCACACATATGCCATCTGTCCTGTATAAAACAGAAACAACTTTACAGAACATTCATAAATGGAAGGAAACATACAGTCACAACAGTGTGCAAAAGTGCAGCAATTTCTCCAACAGTTTTAATACACCTGATGATGGCCAAATGAGATGAAACATGTTGTGCAATAGATGTGCTGAGTGAAGACATACAATCTGTAACAATTGAGAGTTTTAAAAATTAAAAATTTTGAATTTTAGAACTCTCAGTGTGAGTTGTGCATGAGACAGCAGTGAATACATGAATAAAAACAAGTATTTGTTGAATTCTCATCACCAGAATGCACTGGAAAATAGTAACATGATGATAGCTAGTGGATCATTTGAAAATATAACACAGTTAAATATCTGGTAATGTCAGTTGAAAATTTGATTAATGAGGAAATGAGGAGCAATTTAAGTTCAGGTAATGCTTGCTGCTGTTCATTTCAGAACGTTTTCTTTTTTTTCTGCTTTAAAAAAATGAAATATACAAAACTAAAAATTTTGCCTGTAGTTTTGTATAGACACCTGTCATGAAAAGAGACTCCAAAACCATGTCAACATTGAAGTGTCCAGACTTCTCAATGTGAACAATATCATTAGATGACTCAAACGGAAGAAACTGTTCGAACTAGTTAAATGTTAAGCACTAAGTATGTGTAATTAAGTGGAAGTGACTTAGTTTTAATTTACATAGTGTATTAGGTGTAGGAAAGTTAATCGTTAGTTATCCAACTAGTTTTAATTTTAATTAAGTTCTGGCTTACCCAGTCTTTAATTAATTAATTAATAAAAAAGAGTTTTGTATAGGTGTGAAACTTTTTCTCTGACATTAAGGCGAGTACATAGACTGAAGGTATTTGAGAACAGGCTGCTGAGGAGAATATCTTGAGCAAAGAGGGATGGAATGGTAGTAGGAGGCTGGAGAAAAATGCATAATGAGCAGCTTCATATCTTCAACTCTTTGCTAAATAGAATGACTAAATCAAAGGGGATGCAATAGGTAGGGATACACAGGAAAAAGAGGAATACATACAGGGTTTTAGAAGGAAAGCCAAGAGTGAAAAGACCACTAAGAAGACCTAGATATAGATGAGAGGATAATATTAAAATGGGATGGTATATTCTGGGTTCATCTGGCACAGGATATGGGTCAATGGCATATTCTTTTGAACATGATAATGAAGCTTCTAGTTCTATAAACTTTTGGTAAATCCTCTAAACCCGGGTATCAATTGCACACAGCTGCCGCAAGAGGCAATGTTAGTTGCTTTGCCTTGCGAAGCCAATACCATGTTGCCGTGCACAGCAGAACAAACACTGGAGCTCATGAACTTTTCACGTGTCAAGTTAAATCAGAGTGGTTCTTTGTCCCACGGCAAAGGGATTCCAGTGTGCTGTGCCCTTTCAGTTCAGATGGTCTTGTGGCGTTCCATTATTTTTTTCACGGCAAAATGGAGAATGAAAAGTGTCTAGCTCTCATACAGCTATATAAATCTAAAAAGGTATTGTGGAATTCAAAAAGTGGTAATTACCATAACAAAAGGATACACTAGGACACATGGAAGAACATAGGTGATGAAATGAAAATGCCAGCTCAGGATTTAAAAAAGATGACAACTTTATTTGCTTCCAGGTCCTCAATGATAACATTGCAAAATTCTGGCACTATTCTTGATATGCTTTTTGTGGACACTTGGAAAAGGTATTGCAAGCTTATATAGGAGTCTCCAGTGCCGAAGAATCTCAAAGTATTAACCATTCTTTCCCTCACAGTAATCACTTCTCAAAATTGGGTGTCCATTTTTTTCACTCATGGCTAGATCAATAAGGTTATGTGTTCAAAATCTGATAATGACATTTGCGTAAAATTTTTCAACTGTATCTTCCACTAATTCAAATGTCATATCTTGCATAAGTCTATTTTCTTATTGCATTTGGTGACGATACAATTCCTTCATCCACCAATGCACTCTTCGTTTTGGATCTTTTTTTCTTCGATAATGTTGAACATCAACATAAAGGCAGCCACTGCATATGCAGTATTCATGGTGATCTTGCGAGAACTGAGGAACTGCGTTGATCAACAGCCGCACATGGCTGGGTCGGTCAGTTGGTCGGTGTGAATAATTTTGTAACAATAGTTCTCATTCTCAGGTTTTCACTGTGTGTGGCAGCACTATGAAGTATGATTATGGTGAAAAGAATTATTGCAGATTCTCACATCATACTGAAAATTCATTCTTGCATATGCCCAGTAAATTTGCACATGAATTATTTCCATTAAGTAATGTGTGTCAAAGCTTGCGAAAATATGGTGGATCCTGATTCAGTTTATGATGAACAATTCAAGAGAGAGATCAGTATTTTCTGGTATGTGATGTTGTACAGTCTGCTAGAAGCTCAGAAAAAAGCAAGTCTGCTTTCTGCTTGCTTTTTACTGGTTGCTTATTTGACTTACGGTTTGATCCTGAAAATGGAGGCTGTACCTTCTCATGTAACATGAGGGAACTTCTACTAGACAATCCATTGTAACATCGTGAAAGATAGTACTCGTCATAATCACTGCTGTGAAAGCCTCAAATCTACACAGTCCAAGAGAACTGTGTTAGCTAAAAACCGTTTAAGATACAGTATGCACCAAGAAAAAATCAGTACTGAAATGAAAAGACATCCTGTTGATACCACTGTCTATTCATGTGAAGGCCCCTTGCATGACAGAACCTTCTCAGATCCTGAAGAAATGGTCTGATCACCATGTCCCTGTAGCATTCTTGGGTGACGGTAAGAGCATTGCCTTCCTCATCCTCAATGAAATAGGGGCCTATTATACCATGTGCTGAGATGGCACACCATATCATCACAAGTGTACTACGTACTAATTCATTCATTCATCTGTAATCTATCAAGATGACAGGTCCACAGTCTCTTCCAAAACAGTTCCTCCACTTGATGCGATCTAGAGCTTTCTCCTTCAAATGAAAATATCCTCTTCTGTCCCCAAGGTCATCCAGCATCTTCATACGTCTTCTTCCTCATCCTCTGGTCACTTCTATCCGCCCCTCTATCTTTCCTTCAATAACTTCTTTTAGAAGGCAGTTACCGCATAAAATATGACCAATCCAATTATCCTTCTGTTTTCTTATTTCATGCAGGATATTCCTCTGCTCACTGACTCTAAATAACACTTCTTCATTTCTCACATAATCGGTCCAACTGATCTTCTCCATCCTTCTCCAACACCACATTTCGAAGCTTTCCAGGTGTTTCTGATCTACTGCCCTAAATGTCCAAGTTTCAGCGTCATACAAAGCAATGCTCCAAATGTAGCATTTCACCAGTTTCTTTCTCAAATTTAATATAGTAAACAGTAATCACATAAGAAGCATATATAAATATATGAATTGTAAACGCAAGCTGTTACACTGCAACACTAACATAAAATTTAGCAAACGCTGTCTTAAGAGAAACAGTTGGCAATCTGGAGTTTTAATATTGATATCGAGTGCAGTGTGACAGCTTCATGAAGTGAAATACGCCTGATGATGGCCGGTTGCGGCTGAAACATGTACTGTGTGAAGAAGGTGAACAAGAACTACAATAAAGTGTTACATTTATGACGGAGTTTATATTATACATATAGAAGTGTGGAATGTAACAGGATGCTAAAATATAATATAGAAATATGGGCTATAAACAACCTGAAAGACAGTAAAATTTTCTATATATACACAAAAGCGCAATTTTTACAAATTAAAATTAACTGTGATTATTTTGTCATGAAATTCAAAATATAATATTTATTATAGATGTTATGAAATTCCAAAGGACTTACTCATAGTTTTTTCTTCAATATTGAGACATGGTGATATTGTAAATATAATCACACTACTAAAATAATATTTTGTTCAGAGTGTACGTGAGTTTGAACCTCGTCACTTCACAGTTTGCAATACCTCACACTCTGTCGCGCTTGTGCCACATCTCAAAGCAGTCCACGACACACCGCCCAACATCACACTTTTTACAATAGAAAAGGGTGCTCCTGCTTTTCTTATGTAGCAAACACACATGACGTCTTTGTTTCCCTTTGGTTGGTCAGTGTTGTGAATGTTTCACCTCCTGTCAACTCAGTTGGGCTCCAGATGAACTTGGTCTCCCCCAAGAAATGCCACTGACCTCGATATTCACCTCGTGCGATTGGAGAATTAAATCCCTCACTAGGATTTCATGGAATTTTTTATGTGTCATTATTCCACCACATGACTTGTGTAATAGATAGACATTGAGAATAGTTATATCTGGAAGGTTGAAAAACAATTTCTTTGTCAATTTCCTCCAAGCAACTCCATAACTGTTTACCATCCTGTCAGATTTATCCACAAGGCCCTCTGCCTCATTACCTGATGATGTTGATGATATATTTTCACGAGGTTCAATCAACTCATTGAGTTCTTCTAACTCTTCATCAGATTACTCTTCCATCAATACTTCTTCCAGTTCTTCTGCATCGAGAAGTTTTGAATATTGGGCACGTTTTTGAGGGTCCATCTTGGGAGAGGGGGGTTTCCAGCTAAATTGAATAAATTATGTTGACTGACAAAGCAACAGTCTCACCTGTTAGTAATACTCGCAAAATAGTGATGCAAAGTAATTATAATACTAGTTGAAAAGAATGCTGATCCGACACTGGTACCGAAAGACACAGTGACGAAGATGCCTTTTACTCACAAAGGAATACTGGCTCAGTGGGTTTATACCTCTTCCAAGACACAAAATAAAAACGATAAATAAAGAAATATATGACAATCTGACACTGACTTCCTAACTGATAATTCACTACTGAAAACCAATCCTTGAATACGTCACACTTCCTTGTAAGCTCTAGAAGCACTAATCTGTGAGTGCAGATGAATATTTAGTCCTCAGTTCTCAAAACAAAACTGGGCTCTATTTGGCTGACCAGGTCATAAACAGTCGAAACCAGTACCGTGATAAACGATTTCATTGTTCAGAGCTAACAAATGAGCCACTGACATGACCTTGCATGGGTTTGTTTTGGTTTCAAACTGAAAATCAAACTGTCAGCACTCCCAAAGAGAGCACGTGTCCTACGTTAGATAAATATAACATTCGGCCACAGCAAGGTGTTACTTGCTGTTAGATATACATAACAGTCGTAAATTAAAATTAAATTAAAAAATTAGTTTCTGTTCTAGTTATCATAATAGAATCTGCCATAAGAGACGCTTGTGTGCTAAAAACAGAGTTTGGGAATCACTGCATTAAAATAATACAAAAAGATAAGAAGGTCAAGGGCAAAACATAATTTCTAATGATGTGAATTTTTGGTGACAGAAATTGCATTTTATTGTATTGCAGACATGAGCAGACTGTCCTGGAAAGCATGAGGAATTACTTTGTCACCCTCATACAGAACATGTTTGAAGTGGACATGAAACAAGCTGAGTGTCTTTACTCTCTTCTTCTTCAGTGCACTCAGAGAAAGAACCTGGTAAGCAGTCAGAATGTAGAAATTGCTATTCACTAGACAACAACATTTATAGTGTACAAGTTCAATGTCTGTTCAAAATTAGATTAGTTATAATGTGTGCATCACATAGTTCCCCATTTTTAATTCAGTTCTATTTTATTCATCTTCTTGGCAAAACTATTGGCATAAGATACGTCTTATATCCATGTCTAAAAATAACATGAATATTTCATGTTTCTTAATGTTACTTTGCACCTAAAACCAACCCAAGTAATCATGTTCTACTATTTAACATAACATAGCAGAGACAGGGGTATTGGGATGCAGTGGGTAATGGTACACATATGAATTTTTAAGGTCCAAGAAGTCACGAATGACTCTTAACTGTCTGTTTGACTTCTAAGGAACTGCACACACTGCTTAAGAAACAACAGATTTTTTCCTGTAAGATGCTTAACACAGTCTCTCTTTAAATTTATGGTTTGCAATTTCAGATCACTGTGGTCCGTCTCACAGACCAACAAGAGGAGACGTCTCAAGAACTTGATCTGGCAATCCTTAAGTCTGTACTTACGGGCCAGCACTTGTCTTCATCTGAACAGTTTGACTTTGCTCTCATGTGGAATCGAGTGGATATTGCGACCTCTGATATATTTATCTGTCAGCAAGAATGGCCTCCAGGTATATCTTTCATGCATGACATCTCTCTTCTCACTCCTGATATGTTCCTGAGTAAAGGATTTGTTTGTTTCTGTGGCAGGGGCTCTAGAAGAGGCCATGATGCAAGCCCTCAAGCTTGATCGTGTTGATTTTGTTAAATTATTACTGAAGAATGGAGTCAGTATGCAGAAGTTCCTGTCTGTACCTCGTCTTGAAGAGCTCTACAACACCGTAAGTTGAATAGTTAAGTTTGTTCCAATCCATTTATATCGTGTCAGAAGCAGTCAAGTGCCTGTTATGCAGCAGCAGCAGTTTTTGCTCATAGGTCCATTGTGTCCATCCACAAGAAACACTGTGAAGGACTACATGTGTATGCAATGAATTTTGAAATGGTACATCCACACTAAACCATTTCGATTTCTGTTTATCTCAGTTCATGTTAAGGGTTACTGTACTTGAAAATAGAAATAAAATTTTAATGTATATTTTGAGTGAAAAAGTTAAATAGTTCCATCCAGTGTGATGGACCAGAATGAAACAAATCAAATATATTTTGAGTCTTTTGACAGATATTTTTTATGAATAACAAAAAATGACACTTTGTACCAATACATAAGTACTACCATGTGTAAGGTTCATTCATTTTACTTAATTTTATGGTCACCATTGAATGAATGAATGAATGAATGAATATATAAGGGGCCCTTGCACTGTGACCTACAGTGGTCTATTGTGCTTCCCCTTTTAATTATCCCCTCAGCAATGCAGGATTTAGTACGTGGGGGTGTCGAAATAGTCACTTGTTTCCATATATGGTCACCATTACTTAATGACCTAAATGTGTTCTTGAATATACTTCTTAAACTATTAACCTTAGAGATAAATGTTTTATGCTTAAAATTCAAACACAGCTTTTAAGGAAGGGGAATCTGCATGTTCTTATTTCGTTAGAAACATTTTTTGCTTCATATCCTAATTGACTTCTCATTTTTATGGTTTATGAGTTAGAAGTCTCCAGATTCTTCTGTCATCTTACAGTTTTTCCTTCAGTACCTGGCTGAACTGTTTAGTTCTGGATTGTCCTTTAACATTTAATATCAGTGTGCTTCTCGGTATCCTTATTCCGTTCATTACTTTTATGTGGCCATACCATCATAGTTGTTTCACTTCAAAATATTGTAACGTGTTTTACCACTGAAGACGCCATTCAGATCATTAATTGGTTTATTTAACAACCTACAAGTCTTGGCTACAATTAATTGTAACAATGTTACGGGTTTACACACTTTACAAACCCTACACACAAATCTCTTCACACTGTCCTCGGTAGTCTGCACGTATTCACCCTACGATACGGGAGCTATACCAGTGTCACTCTATTACACACTCCCAATTACTTTCTCAGTTATCACAAACTATCACTGATTATCACACATGCGTTCGGTTCTTCTTTCCGCTACTGCTGCTGTACTCCAACTGTCTTCGTAGGCAGTGTAGTTCTCTTATAAACCCTCAGCCGGATAACGGGAAACGCCTCTCTTCCTTGTTGCCTAGTCGCCGTGTTTACAGGTGTTACTGGCAATGCTGTCAGGAGTTGTTTATGGCTGCATAGCAACCATGGCATCCCTTGGTCAGGTCACCGCTGGAGGGGTAGGGGAAGGAGTGTTGACTTGCCTGTTACCCTAGTAATGACAGCGCTCCATTGCCGCCACGTCACGACTGGGTGGGAGGGGTTGTCCTCCATAGCGCAACACATCACACTGTATTAAAGCTATATTAAAATGTGGATTTCCAACTTTAACTCCTGAACATTTATTTCTAATTAGACATACTATAAATCGATAATAGTGGCCAAGCTCAGCCATTATAGTGACTGGGTATGACTGGGCATTGATTCCTAGCAGGGGCACAGATATTTTAATCTCTGTTACAGTATTCAGACCAGCTATGGGGCCCAACCATTCTTCTATCCAGTAGGTAGTGGGGCCTCTTTGTCTGTGGGAAAATCTGCCAGGGCATGAAGCTGACCATTCTTCTTCATTTAGTGCCAAGATTAGGTATGAGTTTAGTTATATCTCCCCCCATGCCATACATCTTCAAGTTGTGTTTAATTAAGCACAAAGAGAAATTCTATATTACAGTACAAAATCTGTACCTCTACATATGAAAACTTCTTTTATAATCATTTAAGTAATCGTAATAACATACCTTTATTCAGAAAATATTTGTGAATATGAAATTTTCATTAACTTGAGATTTCACTACAGCTTAATGTGGGAGTTGAACATTTAACAAATGCTGGCCTCCTAAAGCAATGATCAACAAACAGTTGATTCATCTATTGCAGACATGTCCAACTTCAAACATATTGTAATCGAATTTTTAGTGTCAAAACTGGCAGTGATCTACCACCCCCTCCTATCGCCGTACCTTGCTTTAAGCAAAAATATTGGTAAAAATAATATGACACATGATGTTTGTTGTAAAAGCAACATACATTGAAAGTGCAGATTACTTTAACACGTATTTTCCCTTCAAAATCTGTAAATAATCATATTATATTACAAGTTTATTTAAATGCTTTTCATGTTTAATTTCCTTATAGGCCTATGAGATCGACCAAATATTGTCCCGCGTTCGACATACCTCATCTATTGGATTTGGGGTTCTCAAAATTTAACTATGAAGAGCACTATCTTCTGGGCTGTACTGCAGTTGACATTCATGGATGTTTCACTTTGCTTGCTGCCTCCATCTTGCTGGCTATTTGCTTGAATTACTTTTTAACCCTGAAGATGGAGGTAGCATATTCTCCTGAAATACCAGTGAACTTCTGCTGCCCTGTGTGGCATTTCATCCCAGAGGATAGTACTTTTTGTCTGAAGAATTTTTATTCCAGAAAGTCATTATTTTCAGGAGTACATAGTGGGATGGGAGCAACTGATTGAGATGCAGATGAAAGTGCATATCATTAACTACAAGCTTTCAGTCTTTCAAAATTTCGAATTGGATTTTTGTTTTGCAGAAACAAGGACCCTTCAAGAAGCTGGGCTACATTTCGAGACAAATTCATCATATATCCCGCGGCAACATGTGCACTCTGCACGATGTTGGATTGCTCATCAACAAATTGATGGGTGGATCTTACAAGTCAGTGTGATGTTTATGTTTACAACAAATTAAAATGACATTCACCGTTAAATGAAGGGAAAATCAAATGTGTAAAATGCATGTTATCATTCGGTTTAGAATAGTTCAGAAAATCTAAGTTTGTTTGCTTCCCATATTGACTTTACTTTGAAACTTCCTGCAGATTTACATAATTTTCTGATGTTCTCATTCATGGGCCAAAAGAAAAAAAAAGGTAAAGCTATCCCTTAACAGGCTGTGGAGGTCCATATAGGTGTGAGATGTCAGGGGTCCCTCATTTTCTAGACAATCAGCTCACAGATGGCGGTGAGGTTGTCAGCCTTATGCGCTGGTCGCCCTTTGCCCCCAGAAAGATTCCTGGTACTCATTTCCATTAGAGCTTGAGTCGACCCAGGGCCATAGTGTGGCTGGAAGGATTAGGTCAAGTGAAAAATCAAATGACCTCATCTGGAATCGAACCCTTTACCTTCTGGCTTGTATCATAGTGCTTCATCCAACTACGCTACCACGTGCTCCCTCATTCATGGGTAGCAAGTTTTCATGCACATACAAGGTGGTTCAAATATGACCGGAACTGATTTTTTTTAAAACCATAATTACCAGACACTTACTTGCACATGTCAGTCTTCAATGTATGCCCCTCCGGAGTCAACACATTTTTTCCAACGTTCTGGAAGCATCCTAATGCCCTTTTCAAAAAAGGCTTGTGGTTGGCAGTGTATCCACTCCCGAACAGTCTGGATGACAGCGTCATTGTCCTCAAACCGCATGCCTTGCAAGCCTGATTTGAGCCTTCCGAACAGGTAGAAATCACTTAGGGCCAAATTGGGACTGTACGGCGGATGTGTCAGAAGGTTCCATTTCAATTTCCGGAGGTCTTCCATTGTTGTTTTGGCCGTATGAGGGCGTGAATTGTCTTGAAGAAAGGCTACCCACTTTCCACCTGTCTTCTGCTTGGATCAGAGCTTTTCCTTCACGTCTGTTGCCAGGAGGTCTGAATAATAAGCTGCATTGACTGTTCTGCCATCTGTCAGAAAGTCTACATGGATAACCACCTGCCAGTCCCAGAAGAACCTTGCCATCATTTTTCCTGCTGAATGGCTTCTCCACGCGCTTTTGGGTTTGGGAGAACTGGTATGCCGCCACTCGCGTGATGACTGCTGGGACTCAGGAATGAAGTAGGGCACCCACGTTTCATCGGTGGTCACTATAGACTTCAAAAATGCTTCACCTTCGTCTTCAAACTGCTGTAGGAGACGACTGGCAGCTTGCATGCGCACCAATTTGTTCACATCCGTCAAAGTGCGTGGTACCTACCGTGCATTGACGTTGCAATAGTGCAGGTGGTATTTCACGATGTCTTCTACACTACCAATACTGATGGACAGCATTCCTCCAAGTTCCTTGAGAGTGATGCGCCTATTCTAATGAATAAGCTTGTCTGCACGATCAATATTTGGCCCGGTGACAGATGTTCACAGCCAACGATCATGCGGTTCATTGTCCACTCACTCTCTGCCGTCTCTGAAGCAATTACACCACTCAAACACACGGGACCATGAGAGAGACTTCCCCATACTGTTGTTGGAGTCTGCTGAATTTCAGCATTTTTGACGTTTTCTCGAACGAGGAATTTGATGACAGTGCATTGTTCCATGCTCCGCAGTACCTTCTGTTTGCTCATTACTCTAGCAACTCCCAGACAGGACTGACAGATTCTAACCCAAACAGGAGGGAGGGTGGAGGTTGTGCCTTCACTCTCTCACAGTCGCACAGCTGCTGCACAGTGCGGCTTGTTTACACACAAATCAGTCCCGGTCATATTTGAACCACCTTATACATTTGCTTTTCACTATATAATAATTTGCTCCAAAACTCAATTGTACCTCTTATTTGGGTCTCCCGTCTATGTCTATGTTTTCTGAAGTGGTTCTTCCCTTCTCATTTTTGAAAAATGTACTGTATGCTCCTCTCATTTCCCTGTGCTTACAATATGCTGCACCTATTTCTTCTTTTCTGCTTTACGATTAATCACTGTAACAATATTAAAAAAATTGAAGCTAACTACTGTGTGATCTTCTCCAGTTAATTTCTTTATCTGCTCAGTGTTTACCTGTTTCTTGAGATATGTGTGTGTGTGATTCTCTCCTGAAGGTCATATTACACACAAAGAAAATTCCAGCTCATCTATGCCAGAGCAATGAGGAAATCTCTAGATTTTCAGCAAAGCTATGGAACTACCAGCATGACATCAGGTCTCCCAAGAGGAACCCTCCTAACGTCAAATGAAGAAAATCTGTTTGATTATCCATTCAATGAACTGCTCGTGAGTGTTTGTTTGAAGTATGCAGTAAGAGAATAATATGTAATGTTTTGGGGGGTTTTTAGGCAGGGGTTGGAATGATAACAGATTCTTGACTAATTATTTGGCAATTCTTGGCAATTATTTTGCAGATGTTATATGTTCTTAACTACTTTGTTAATATAATGTTGTTTTGTTACCATTATTCCTAATATTCTTAATATTTTTCAAATTCTTGAAGGATTTGTTGGTTAAGCGTATATTATGAGCTTGTCCTACATTCTAATGATGGAACAAAAAAGATGATAGTTCTAAGAATTTGTATGCTGTGTCAGGTATGGGCAGTGTTGACTGAGAGGCAGCAAATGGCTCTCCTCATGTGGCAAAATGGTGAAGAAGCCCTAGCTAAAGCTCTGGTGGCCTGCAAGCTTTATAATGCTATGGCTGATGAAGTGGCTGAAAATCACTCGGAGACACAGATATATGAAGATTTAATAAACTATAGGAAAGAGTTTGAAAACATTGGTAAGTAGAGTTAAGTGTCTTTGTCAGTGGAATTGAGACAGTTATGTGAAACTGAAAGAATAATAATATAAGGAATTATTCATAAGCCATATGAAGTGTGGGAGGGGCTCTGAAATGAGTGCAAACAAAACATTCTCAAGTAGTTACTATAGGATTGTGACGATGGTGTATAACACATTGATATATTGGGTTTCTGGACTTTATCCATCGTCCTGGTTTTTAAGATAACAAATAAAAACATGACGTTTCGGAAACTGGATCTGTTTCCATCCTCAATCGTCCAGTGATTGAGGCTAGCTCTTTCTAACGGACCCAACAGAATAGGTGTTTCCCTTTTCCTTCACCTGAGGACGGAAACAGATCCAGTTTCTGAAACGTCGTGTTTTTATTTGTTATCTTAAAAACCAGGACGATGGATAAAGTCCAGAAACCCAATATATCAAAACATTCTCAGTTTCTAAGATTTTGTGAACATGAATGCGCTGTTGTTCACACAGAAATTCAAAAATGGATATTTGGATGTACAGTGATCTGTGCTGTAATTATAGTGTACATAACTGATTGTAACTTCATGTGTAGACATGTCTCACTACAATGCATATTATATTTCTGTTATTATTGATTTTGGGAATAGATTGGGTGGTTTCATAGTTCTGACATATTCTCTCAGAACTGAGTCACATCCAGCAGAAACACAACAGTATACCATTAATCAGATCCTACAAGTGTTATCACCAAACAGTGCAGCATGTAGATGATAATTTATCAGGCACTTCGAGATTGCTTCTGAATGAACTTGACATGCATTATTATGTAAACCACTTAAGCAGTGGAGCAGCTGCCACTCCAAAATCACACCAAATATAAAGGGAATTATACAGAATACCAATAATGCAGAAGTCTTCAGTAGTGTGTTATACATGGTGTCCTAAAAACAACTTATACCTTCATTTATTTGGAGTAACAAAACGTTCCTTGAAAAACTAATTGCCCACTTTCCTTTGATATGACAAGGATCTCATAGAAAAGGATGCCTACAACAATTCTTTGCTGCCATGGGAATGTGTTTACTGAGCTGTTGCCTAGCAGTGATAGTGGGTTACACAGACTCATAGACTGTCCTTTGATATGACATGGAACACAGAGAAAACAACATTTTAAACAGTTCTTCTGTTGTTCTGTATATTTATTGCTGTAGGAAAATGTTTGCCAAATGCCAAACCTAAAAAAAAAATAGGGGGTTGTACATTTTAATGCAGTGTGAGAAGGTGGCTGAGCCCTTCTTGAGAAGCCACCAATTGTGCACCTACTCAAGAACTTCCCTAGCATTTTATGGAACCCAAAGGTTCATTACCATGTTCACAAGAGCCCTCCACTGTTCCCTATCCTGAGCCAGATCTATCCAATCCATGCCATCCCATCCTGTCTCTCTAAGATCCATTTTGATATTGTCCACCCACATATGCCTTGGTCTTCCCAATGGTCTCTTTCCACCTGGCTTTCCCACCAATATCCTACGTACATTCCTCTTCTCCCCAATTCGTGCTACATGCCCTACCCATGTCATCCTCCTTGACTTGATCATTCTAATTATACTTGGAGAAGAGTACAAATTGAAGCTCCTCATTATGTAGATTTTTCTCAGTCTGTGTTCCTCCCTTAATGTCAGAGACCAAGTTTCACACCCATACAGAACTACAGGCAAAATATTAGTTTTGTATATTCTAATTTTTATGCTTTCGGACAGCAGACAAGAAGACAAAAGTTCCGGACTGAAAGGTAGCGAGCATTACCCGAATTCAGTCTCTCTTAACCTTAACGTCCGAAATGCCTCGATCAGGCCAGTGATGAGTATGGTCGTTCTGGCCAAAGTACCCCGATTTGGGCAGTCGGTCATTTAAACTCAGCTAGCGGAAGTGTGCTCACACTCTGCTAGTTGAAGCATATGCACAATCATAAATATTTATTTTTAAGTATAGTAAAATTCAATATACATACTTTTTTGTTGTTATTTGCTTGATGTATATACATATTTCAACCCCTGTGTCATCTAACTGAATCTTGCCTTTGTGTAATACTCCTTGAAGCACCCGAGAAAACACAGTCCCATGTCACATATCATACATTTCAACTGCCTTTCAATTTCATCATTTTGCAAATAACATTTCATTACCATTGTATGCTAAAAGGAAACTACACTATTCAAATTCACTGGGAACTCACAGAAAACTGAGTGCACTCTGTATCTCAGCTGAGATGCAAGCGTTTGGTTGCAACCATAGAAAGGGCAATATTCTCTTGCAGCTGCAATGGCAGGGCTTGGTACTGAATTAGGAAACATTGAATATACCCTGTAGCCTTTCTAGAAAGGCCATTTCCACTTTTCTGTCCTTTGGTCAAAAGACTGGGATATCTGAAAGGTGTAACAAAGACTTGAATCTTGGCAGCTGAGAACCAAATGACTTTATTGCTTCCAGCTGTTTTATGGCACCAGAGAATGTGAAAATATTTCAAGTGTTACGAGCAGGAGTGATTTTATAATGCAGAACTACTATGTGAAGAACTATTTTTACAGTACACATCATAATAAAATAAAATAAAATAATAAAAAATAAAAGTAGTTTATAACTTCTTGTTTACATATTTTCAAATTTTACAATATAATATGTGGCACTGTGTTCTTTTCTGATAAAAACAAAGTTAATGACATTCATTTATCAATAAAATTGTATAAGATACTGTATTTTCAAATACAGTGCAAGTGCCCTAACAGGAAAGGGAATTTAAACGCAGAGTGACAACAGGTATTTAAACATGCACCAGCAGTGGGCATTTAAATAAAAACCTCATCCAGCTCAAGCTACCACTATTTCAATAGTCTGACATTTAAAGGTTGATTTCCTTCTAAATCAGGTTTTGATTTGTTATCGTCATTCCCAAATATCTCAACTGTGCTACATTTCCAAAGCATCTGTTGTATATCTTTATGTCATGATTTTGCCCTGCATTCTGGTGATCAGACAGCAACATATACTTAGTTTTCTCTGTGTTTACTTCTAGACCAACCTCCTTACTTGTGTCAGTTAAAGTTTGTGTGTTTCTCTTCATGGTATCTATATTATCACCCAACAGATTCACATCATCAGCATAGACTAACAGCTGATGTGTCCCATTTAATTTCCATCCCACCTGGATTTTCTGGACCTTCCTAATGGCATACTCTAAAGCAAAGTTGAAAAGAAGTGGCAATAAAGCACCTTTGTTTTGGACCATTCTGGATAGGAAAATTATCAGACAAATGTTTAACTACAATTCTTTATTGGAGTCCATCATAACACAACAACATAACGGTCAAGGTTCAAATTACCTTAGCTACACGTTTCAGCTTTTAAAGCCTTCATCAGGCAAACACATGATTACGATATTCATAATTAATATTAATGTATTTATAAATGCTGCTTGCTTGACTAGCATTTATAATTTTCATTTCGTCCATCCTGTTGTGTTATTATATACAATTCTTTATTGGAGTAAGTCATAACACAACAACATAATGCTCAAAGTTAAAATTGCCTTGGCTACATGTTTTGGCTTTAAAAGACAATTTTAAGCTCGACCGTTATGTTGTTGTGTTACGACGGACTCCAATAAAGAATTGCATATAATAATACAACAGGATGCATGAAATGAAAATGTTTAACTGTACAAACTTTCCCATATGTTTCATTTAAACACATTTTAATCAGCCTGACTAGTTTCATTGGTACCCCAAACTCTTATCAGAATATTGTACAGTACTTCCCTAATTTTTTAATCATAGGCTGCCTTGAAGTCTACACATATCTGATATACTGCCTTATTGTGCTCCTATTTTCTCTCCAGTATCTGACAAATGCAAAAGATCTGATCTGTAGTTTATCTGTTATGTTGAAACCCGCACTGATGATCCCCAATAATTTCATCTGTGTATGGATTTAACCTTGAGAGATGAATAGTGAATAAAATTTTGTATGAAGTTGATAGTAGTGATCTTCTTCTTCTTCTTCTTCTTCTTGTATGGCGCAACAGCCCGATGTCGGGCCTTGCCCTCCCTTATCGAGCCCCTCCATTCCTCTCTATCCTGTCCAGTTCCTTACTACCATTAGCTTCTTTGTAACTTCTTCCACCGCATCTATCCCTCTAGTTCTTGGTTTCCCAGCACGTCTCCTACCACCTATTGTACTATATAATATTTTCTTTGGGATACGCTCCTTATCCAATCTCTGTACATGCCCAGCCCATTGCAAGCTTTTAAGATTTATTGTCACTGAGATCTCTGCCTCCTTATATAATTTGTATAACTCTTTATTATATCTTATTCTCCATATCCCATTCTCTTTTATTGGTCCACAAATTCGTCTTAGGATTTTCCTCTCGAAAGAATTGATGACTGATTCCTCTTTCTTGTTTAGCATCCAACCCTCACATCCATAATAAAGCACTGGTCTTATCATTGGTTTATATATTTTTGTTTTAATCGCTCGGTGTATATCCTCTGATCTAAACACTGATAGAATTATTCACTAGTTTTAGTCTTCTTGTTATTTCGTGATTTTCCTCTCCATCGTTGTGGAATAGTCTTCAACTATTTCTATCCCGTCCCCTTCCTTAGTGATATCTCCTGATAATTACTGCTGTAAGAGAGGTTAGTGTGTGTCACCATCGTGTGTACTGTATGACCCAAGTAGCCATCTTGTCTTCTGCGAATGTTTACGTCCAGGAAGGTGAGGTGGTTGTCTGTCTCAGTCATCATGTTGAACTGGATGTTGTGTATGAACAGGGTGTCTAGGAAAGCCTTTCCCATCTACGGGCTAGATCACAGATATGTTATCAGTGTAGTAAAACCAGCAGCAAGGCTTGTAGTCAGTTACATTGAGGGCCTCCTGCTTGAAGTCCTCCTTGAAGATAATGACAATCACAGGAGACAGCATTGAACCTGTAGCTGATGCATTATTTTGTTATAGAACTGGCCATTCAAACAGAATTGTGAGGACATCTTAACATTATTTTCAAGGGGCTTGGTATGTCATTGAATTACTGACATAGCAGGTTAAGTGCATAAGTGAGTCTATTGTTGAAGACACAGTGAAAAAAATAAATTGCCTGAAAAATATCTGATGAAATTGTATGCTGCAGATAGCACAGAATGAGTGATGCTGATTTGTTTCAGCTCTTGAGCTCCTGGACTATTGTTACAAGCAGCGTGTTGACCAGGCTAAACAGCTGTTGACATGTGAACTGCAGAACTGGAGTAAAGAAACTTGTTTGAATCTGGCAGTAGCAGCCAATCACCTTGCCCTGCTTGCTCACCCTTGCAGTCAAATGGTACTTGCTGACCTCTGGAGGGGTGGTTTATGCACTCGCAAGAGTAACAATCTGAAGGTATGATTTCCAAGAAACTATTTAGAAACTTAGAAGGTCAAATACAACAGTGATATTCAAAGAAGTTATATATTTATGTAACTGTTTTTTAAATGGCATCTTGTGTTCAGTGAATAAATTGTACTATGGTACCACTGCTTGCATAGTTGACATGCATAGAATTGCAAAGTTACTTGAATGTCACTCTACCTGCCTTTGCAGTTGTAATTAAATGGAAGTACATCCCTGCTCTTTAGGTTTTATTTTATTTTTAGGTCTTCTTTGGTGTATATTGATAAATAAAATGCATTCCTGGTGAAATAGCATAAGGCTGCCACTGTACACAACAGGACATAGCACAGCTTACGAACAAACTTTAAAATGTCTCAGACATGTGGTACAACTCTTTGGACAGAGTTCCTCACCACCCTCTGGAAATTGATAAGACAGCAGTTGATTAATATGAATGACTGTTTTTGCTAATCTGCTTTTACCTGCAACGAAATTTTCAGTTTGAGAAAGGAACAATTTGGCAAAGAGTGCTGTTGCCATGTAGTGAAAGTCTTTTATCTCTACATCTTTCATGATTGGAGGGCAATTTCCTGTTAGTGTTATGTTGACACTATTCATTTAGAGTGAAGGAAACTGATAACACAAAGTTTCTGAAGTTTTTAATGATGGTGTGACACTGTACAGTTTTTGTAACAAGTTTCATTATGAAATGACCTGGAAATCACTGAGCATATTGGTGTAGCAGTAACACTTTAGACTTGTATTCAGGAGGTACTTTGTTTGAATCTGAACTGGGGCATAGATATTTTGACTGAGGGTGCTGTGGTTCTTGTCTCTCCTTTTGGGAAAATGCTAATATACTACTTCGGTTGGGCCGTAACTGCTTCCTTCCAAGTTCTTTAATGCATTAAGGTGGTACACAGCATACTGATCAGGTTTCTTTTATCCTCATTTAGACCTTTTCTGGTTTCTCTCAGCCTTTCCAGGTGAATGCTGAGATAGTATCTTCAAATACATCATGATTGCATAACTCTTAATCCTTCTCTTTATTGTCTGCATCATCTTTGGTGTCACAGTGGTTTATTTTTGTTTTTTGTTTTTTTTTTTTGCCATCAACACAACAGATTTTCACACAAACCAATTCAATATCATAAGTCCTCATGGAACCACTAAACAGGAACAACATTCAATAATAGGAGGAAAACATCCACACAAAAGAAGCATACAAGCGCACACTTCAAAGACAAAATAACCTCATCATGACACTACATAAGAAAATCATAAGAAATACATATAAAACTAGCAACAACAATTGTACACAAATAATCATTCATGACATAAAACTAACATTAACAATGAATCACAGAAGACATCATCACCCTCTAATATACAAGCATCACATAAACTCACATTGCAACGATGAGACACAGATGAATTGAATTGAATTGAATTGATACTAATTTCAACAATTTTAGGCCTTAAGGTTAACTNTATTATCTTTGCTGTATGTGCAATAAGACTTATTGTGCGATGGTCTAACTATAATATAAAAAATAGAAACATGTGTTATGATGAGATGTAGAAATCAACAGATGTTTAAATAATATTAATATGGATGCATATTAGAACAATTCAATAATAAACACGTATTTAAGTAACTGCCTGATGATGATCCAAACATGGGTCAAAATATCTATTAAGACACTAAATGAAACCAGTGTTACTACTCTTAATCCTTACCTAATCATCATTCACTATCATCATCCCATCTCATCTGATGCTACGTAATGTATGAAGGTGATACTGCATTGTTAAATAACCTAAGACTCAATCAATCAATTTGCCTTTCCAAATATCCTCATGAAAATTACGGTATTATAGGATGTGGTGCTGTACACATAGTATCACACCCCAGAAGACTGTAGTCTTCATAATCACTGCCGTGAGCACCGTAAATCTCTTAGGTATTGTCACATTTTTATAGCTTCAACAAACAACCATATCAATACTGATTTTATATCTTCGTGGTGCTTTGCTGTAGATTTTAATTCAGCTCTTCTGTGTTTGCACCTTATGTATGTGGGCAGTGTTATCAGTGTTTTGGAAGTGCATGCTATTTCCATATTCAGGGTCAAAGTGTGTTGATTTTTGTTTTCAGCAAAGCATGGGAAGAAGATTAGGAGGAGTACCACTTGTAGTTTTGTGTTGTAGTTCAGTCTATGGCGCTGTAAAAGGCCATTTAACTGCATTTTTCCTTAGTCATCATCCCAACAGGCAACACCCCAACTGACCGACCAACCAACCAGCACAACCAAACCAACTCAACAAGACCAAATCTACTACACTCAATCCAACTAAACCAAACCACACCAACCAATTAAACTGGCCTGACCAAAGCAGTGAACCAAACCGATCAATTCAACTAATCACATCACACCAACCCATCCTCTCCCCCAGAGGCCCTAGATGCATCACCATTCTGTGTGGCCGTTGCTTCCCGTACATGGTGAATCCTATGCTTGACAAATAATGAACTCCCCACCAATTTTCACACCACTCAACCCAGCTACATTATGTCTGCTAAGCAGTTGAATGTGTGACTGCTTGGAAACACAATTGGCGGTGGTTTTGGTGTACTGTGTGGGTAGTTTTCAACTTTCCCTGTCCTCTGTCCATGTTGGCACAGATGAGCTTCAGCCCTGTTCTTCCCCCCATGGGTCATTCAAATCAAAAACCTATACATATAAGTCCAAAAGTCATGAGCACATTTATTTTATATTACTGCAAAGGTACATGCACCAAAACGGATCCTCTCTTCAGATACTGGAGATGTCCTCTCACTGTTTTATGGTATCTCAAGAAAATACTTTCCAGCATTGCACAAGCTGTAGTATAAATCTGTTTCATCATTTCATAATCATGTGTGTATGTTTTGCTTTACTGCATTACTGTTTCCATGGTGCTGGCCCCTCATGGAGCTATGATACTGGAAGGTAGACTAATCAGTGAATACATTGTTAAGTGGAAAAATTTGAACAAGATTAGTCATGACCCTAATTTCAGGTCTGTCCTGGCTTTCATATAGAGGGACTAACAAAAACCACAACAAATCTGAATTAGGGTAGCAAGTGTCCAGGCCAAGGGAATACAAGACTGAAGCATTACTGCTTGAGCCATTTGCTCGACCAAGACTTACTTATCCAACCAAACCAAGGCAGCAGTACCTGGTGGGTGCTATAAAGCCGTGTTCATGGATTAATGCATAATAAATTGAAGACAGTTGCAGTGCAAGGGTCTTTAAATCCCACCCTTTCAATCTCATGTAACATTCACACGTAGTTTTCCCTGTGCTTAACTAATTAAACACTACACCATGAAGGCATATGGGGGAGTGGATATATAGATCCATATTTTCTTGACCTCAGCACTAGCTGGAGGTGAGTAGTCAGCTTCATGCCCCTGCCGCTTTACCCCCAGAGAAAGAGCCCCTGGTGCCCATTGGATAGATGGCTGGTGGACCCCAGAGTAGGACTGGATGATGTGGAGAAAGGAAAATGCTAACGGGGCTCAATTTCTGAACACTTGGTTGCCAAGCCCATAGCCAATCGCTATACTGACTGTGTGGTCCTGGCTTTCCATAACATTCACACATTCTAACTGAAAGAAAATTTGGATGTTGTAGGTGATCTTTGGATTGCTGTGTCCATTCTACATTCCAAAACTGGAATTTAAGCTTGAAGAAGAGTTACAACTCTTGCCACAGGCTGAAGAGGAACATTTGGTTTATCTTGAGAAAGAACACAAGAGCACAGAGGGGCAATCTACAGACAATCATCATAACACGGTTGCAGATGCTGAGGTAGGCTTACAGCAAGAATGCATAGAGAATAAGAACTGCTGCCAACATTAGACAGTATCATGACTTTCTGAAGTTGATTGGTCCTACCTGGCCATCTGAACAAAGTACTTTATTGTTTACAAATGTGTGCAGGAATGTTTGTGGGTTTTATCTGATTCTTCAATTTTTTTTTTTTTCAGAAAATACAAACTTATTTAAAAAGATATAGTTTAGCTATGTAAAAATATTACCAGTGTTAGTTTGTACTGTGATAATTTTAAAATGAATGTGATTACTGGGACAAATCAGAACTTGATTCAGGAAGAAATTAAGAGGAAATTGAACTCAGGTAATGCTTGCTACCATTCAGTCCAGAAACTTTTGTCTTCTCGTCTGCTGTCTAAAAACATAAAAATTAGAATATAGAAAACAGTAATTTTGCCTGTGGTTCTGTATGGGTATGAAACTTGGTCTCTGACATTAAGGGAGGAACGTAGACTGAGGGTGTTTTAGAACAGGATGTTGAGGAGAATATTTGGACCAAAGAGAAATGAAGTGACAGGAGGTTGGAGAAAACTGCATAATGAGGAGCTTCATAACTTGTACTCTTTTTCAAGTATAATTAGAATGATCAAGTAAAGGACGATGAGGTGGGCAGGGCATGTAGCACGAATAGGGGAGAATAGGAATGCATGTAGGATATTTGTGGGAAAGCCGGAAGGAAAGAGACCACTAGGAAGACCAAGGTAGATGTAGACAATTTTAAAATGGATCTTAGAGATGCAGGATGGTGTGGTGTGAATTGGATTGATCTGGCTCAGGATAGGAACCACTGGGGGGCTCTTGTCAACATGGTAATGAACCTCTGGGTTCCATAAAATGCTGGGAAGCTCTCAAGTAGCTGCATAATTGGCAGCTTCTCAAGAAGGGCTCAGTTCCAAGAAGTTTGTTAGTGATTACTGGGGCTATCAGCTATATTATTGCACAGGTAGATCTTGATCTTCTGAAAAGAGACTTTCTGATAGATGTAAAAATCGTTAAGTCAGTATAAAAGTGAACCGAGTAAATATATCCAAAAAGAAGAAAAACAAAGGAGAACAAGAGAAAATATCAAATGATATGTGGAACCCCAGTGAAATTCTGGATTGTTTTAATACAATAAGACAAACAGTTCTTTTAGCCCTGCTGTTATTTAATGTCACTGTGGCTCAGACATATTTAGAAACATTGATTCATGGTGGTCTGTTTGGATGAAGTGTTTTGAGGGGTGGATATTTCCATGCATTCTCAAACCAAGCACTAGACTGAGGTGAGTGATCAACTTCATACCCAAGGAAAATGGACTTGGTATACATTGTCTAGTAGGCTGGGTAGATTCGGGTTATTGTTTGGGCTTGTAGAGAAGAAGAAATTATCTTTCCCTGTCCAGAATTGGATCCCAATTTCTTGGTTGATGAGCCCATGGCCTAGTTGCTATACAGACTGCACTATCCAGACCTCCTTTCATTTAACAATATAAAAGGTATTGTTAAATTAAACAGAACTAAGATATTTAATATTTGATATTGGAGAAGGGACAAGGAAGAAGTTAAATCTATGTTTCATTTTGGACAGTAACTTTGTGACTGTTGAGTTTGAACTTTCAGGCAACACAATATACGTATAGATATAATATATTGTAGCGTGTTTGGGTATGTCATGCTACAAATAACTCTACGCTGTATTAAATATAGTGAATCTTTATTGTAATTCACTTGCACACTTGTTCTTCACTGATACAATCACACGCTTTACAATCGTGATCCCTTGCAGTATCACAGTTACCGCTTACAGTATTTCGGCCAGTACATCTGTATCTCTAGGCGTCTATCGCGAGACTCGTCTGTCTCTCCTCAAAGCTGGACTTTTATAACCTCGGCGGTTGCTATGCATTGGACCTTCTGTTGTCTATCACCGGGGAAACGCTGCTTCGTTGATTCTGCAATTCCTACACAATGGTCTATCCTAGCGTTTCCACAGAAGTGACTCTTCTGGATTCCAAACACGTTACAATATTTAAACTTTTACAGAGCCTGAAAACTTTAAAATGCATGCTGATGGCCGAAAGGCTAAAATGTACTGTAAACTTTTAGTGCATAGTAATGTAATGGAGTTGATCAACGCGTTGCCAGGCAACAACTTTGCAAACACGGTCCAACACGCAAGAATAGAGGAAGCTGTGTTTTCTGTAGAACTGACTGATGCACCAGAAAACTGGCTGGATAGTGGTGATGTGATATGTGTTTACTGTAGGTCCATGTCCATTCTGCACGTATATGAGTAAGAGTGAAAGAATTCATTCAAGGCAGTTATGAGTAGTAGTAGCCGCAGAAGCATGTAAATAAGAGAATAGCAGTAGGCTGGAGGAGTACATCAGTTACAAGTTATGAATGAGTAGTGGCAGCAGAAGCATGCAAACAAGGTGATAGCAGTAAGCTGGAGGAGTACATCAGATGCATACATCAGTAGTGGCAGAAGTGTGCAAACAAGGTGATAGCAGTAACCTGGAGGAGTACGGAGGTTATGAGTTACAAGTAGTAGTAGTGGCAGAAGCATGCAAACAAGCAAGCACATTCCTGGTAGGAGATAGGGACTGGAAGTTTGTAGTTGAAGAAGATTTAGAAGTCGGCCTGTGAAGACTTGATGTGTGATTAGAAGACTTTATTTATGTGTAGTGGGAACATTCCCACAGCGTCTGGCAGACAATCATCACCCCTTTCAGAAAGTGCCAAACAGGCAGCTGTGGCCAGAGGGACGCTGATATTTTTATAAATCCATGAAGACCAGTGCAGACAGACTGAAGAGAGTAGTGTGGAGTGATTGTAAATTGTGTAAAGCAACAATAGTGTAATAATTATTTGTAGTTACGGACTGTAGGTTGTTAATGAATCCAATTATCTATCTGAACCCCGTTTTTAGTCACTGATACATGCAGCAGTATATTTATGCATAGATTGTGTTGACAGAAAGCAAACTAATAAGAAAATAACAAATTTAAACCTGTGAGCAGAGAGAGAAGTAAAAAAAAATGTGTTGTGGGATAAGAAGAGGAAACAAATTCTAAAAGGTGAATTAACATAGAAGAGTTAAGAGATGAACAAAATTTACATAATTGTTTTGACTTTATTCATGATTCTAAAGAGTATATACTACAAAAAGAGTCATAAGAGAACTTTTAGTTTCAATGGAAGTGTAAGTAGGTATATATGAATGTCTAAAAGAATTCAGATTTTCACAACATATTTCCAGCCTTCAGGCAAGCATATGGGGTTTGTTTGTTATGATTGTGCACACTCATATATAGCATCAATGAACACTGCCAACAAGTTGCACAGTTCTATGGAACATATTGTATAGTCATTTGCCAATAATATAAGTATTGTAAAAGCTGTATTTAAAATAAAGTGTCAAAGTTTTATTGATTACAGAATCATGTGCAGTGACAGGTTTTCTTCCAACACTGGAAATATTTGTGCCATAAGATTCTGTGACTGTGTCCTTTTGTTACAGTCTTTAATTTATAATGAGAGCCATAACACGAGGAATGCTAATAGGAACAACCGACCCTTAAGTCTGGGAGAGAAGCTGTATGCATTCTATACTGCACCAATAACGAAGTATTGGGGACACTCAGTAAGTGACTGACCTTCTGCTAAACACTCCCTGCTTCATTTGAGTTATATGGTTTAACAGTGAATTGATTATATATATATCTTTATTTTTTTAAACATTGTATGAGTTGGAGATAAACATACAAATTTTATTTATGTTTGATTCTTCTCAGATCTGTTAATATTCAGTCAGAATTCATATTTGAAATAATGAATATAAAAAGAATTATTGCCTTTCAGATTGCATATATTGTCTTCTTGATGACTTTCTCATACACGGTGCTGGTGAAAATGGAAAATAAACCTTCATGGCCGGAGTTGTACACTATCATCTATATATGTACACTGGCCTGTGAGGAAGTACGAGAGATTTTATCCTCAAAACCAGTTGCTCTCAGGTATGACACTGTTCATTTCTTACTTTTATGCTCTTAATTTTAATATCCTATGCATGTTCTCATCATGTTTTCTGTTATTTCAGACAGAAGCTGTCAGTATGGGCACAGCATTGGTGGAATCCTTGTGAAGCTGTTGCCATCATATTCTTCTTCATAGGGTTATTCTTGCGTTTGCACCCGTCCTCACTACATGATGGTCGCCTTATTTTCTGTGTCAATATTGTCTTCTGGTTTGTTCGTATTCTGAAGATTCTGGCAGTGAACAAGTACTTTGGCCTACTTGTTACAATGATGGGCAAAATGTTACTGGACACAAATAAATTTATGTTCATCATCATTGTGATATTGTTGAGTTTTGCAACATGTCACCGGTCAATTCTCCACCCAAACAGAGAACCAAGTTGGGCTTTCATTCGGGAGATGTTCTTCAAGCCATACTTCATGCTGTTTGGTGAAGTATTTGCAGAAAGTATTCTTCCTGAATGTGATAAAGACACTGATTTCATGACATGTCAGATAGGTCGCTGGTTTTCTTTTGTCCAAACAGTAATATACCTTTTTGTGTCCAACTTTATTATCATCAATGTTCTTCTTGCGCTCTACAACAACAGATTTGATGAAGTGAGTGCTGTTTCACGCCAAGTTTGGATGTTCCGGCGTTTCAGAGTTGTGATGGAGTATGAAAAGAAGCCTGTACTTCCTCCACCACTAACTGTTTTCTGCCATGTTTTTCTGTTGTTCAGACATTTCCACCATAAAGTGCATGGGACCGAAGCATCATATGACAATGACTTGAAACTATTTTTGGACCATGATGTCCAGGTATGTCTTGGTGATTTTGAAGAAGAGTGCCTGGACAGTTACTTGGAAGAGCAAGAAACAAAGTTACACAGGTCAAATGATGAGTGCATCAGGAACACAGCTGACAAAGTAGACAACCTCTATGAGAAAGTAAAAGATATTAGCCAGGAACGTAACAATCTAACTTCAGATATTCAAGGAATTGAGGTCCATATTAGAAAACTAGGTGGCCTCACCAATCAAATGTTGTCTCACTCAGCAACTATCCATCGATTTATGGGGACTAATGTACAGGAACCTTTGTCCATATCAGGCTTACCAGATGCAGATTGGGTTGTAAGGGAATAAGACTGTCTGGCAACAGGTTTGATGATAAGAAGGCTTTGTAAAGAACATGTGATTATTCAGAAAATATTCACATTCTGCCAGTGTTCAGCAGGGATCAGAGAAGATCTAAGCATTCCATTATAGAAGACAGACTGATTCATTTATGTTTGTGAAGGTATGCATATGCAGTCCACAGATGTACATATCTGCATATTCGAGGAAGGAGAATATGAGGAAGAAGGGGAAGGTGAAATTTCAGACCTGTCATGGGCAATAAGGAAGAGGATATGACACCAGCTTGCAAAGGAGATGAGCATGTCATAAAACATTCACTTAGAACCAGTTGACAGACATTCAGAAAGCACTGGAAAATAAACAAAATCGCACAAGTTTTTCAGGAACAACTCTTGAAATTGGTAAGGATTATGAAAAGTGCAGTATAATGCGAGGCCCTCCTGCATTGAGAAGGCAACAAACAGATCATCAAGATGAATTCTGAACCAGAAAAGAACCACATACACCCAGATCACTGTCACAAGCCTCCCCAAAATCAACATACATTAGAGATGTCTGACCTTGAGAGATTCTTTCTCGGAAAACAAGTGTTCGTAAGACACTGAGCAAATTGAATATGACTTTTTGGGAGAAATTGCTGATGAAGAGGATGCTGCAGAATAGAGTGCCCTATCTCTCAAAATAAGCAGTGAGCCACCTAAGTTCTGTTTCACAGCAGGTGCATTGAAGTAAAGGATTTTCTCACTCATGGCCACAGTATCTGCCAGCCATCTTTGGCATTGACAGTGATTCACAGCAGGTGCAGGTTCCTTGCACAAGGTCTGGACTTGTGCAGGCATCAAGCCCAGGGACCAACACAACAAGGCTCATGCCCATTTGCTGATTTATGAAATACTTCCTGTGTCAGTAATAGTGCACCTCGGTGATACAGTAGTCACCATATCAGTCCCCTGATTGTTCTGATAATGGAAGCCAGAATTTTCTGGCTTAATATATGATACTCCATAAATAATAATAACATGTAGTTAATCTGTGTTTCACATGTAAATCTCACGTTTCCATGATCTTAGTGACATGGTTACAAAGTAGACATAAAAAAGTTTTAATCACTAAAAAAAAAAAAAAGAAATGCCACACAAGTTGGGGCAGTAGTATGTATATATAACTTGTATGAATTTTCTTGGCTGAATAGATTGAAAATTAGTAAATTGTCATCTCATAAGTATGTGGTGTTATGTGAAATATTCTTTTCAGTATCATAAATATTAAAGTATTTGAATTTCACTCTCTCGATCATTTTTCATGTCTGATTGAAACCAATTTCAGAGGATTTTGAAAGTGTTATGTCATAAAGATTAACAGAGAACAACAAGAAATGAGGTTCCCATGATAGTGTGCGCACGTGCACGCGCGCATATGTGGGCACATAAATGGTGGGCCATAGTAATCTGACCCTTGCACTGCAACCATCACTGATCTATTGTGCTTCCCCTTTGATGAATTCTTTATTAATCCTACACTTCAGATTAAATGTAGGACCCTATTTATGGGGGCATCATAATAGTCACTTGGTTCCAAGAAGTACTGGCCCAGGTGACAAAATCTTAAATAAGCTATGGCCTCACAATCACATAGGATATATGTGGCTGCTTCAACCTCTTCTACGTACCTTTCACAAGTGGATTCATCTGTCAATCCCAGTTTGAAAAAGTGTTGTTTAAGGTGACAGTGTCCTGTAAATAGTCCTATCACCCATCTTAATTGGTCTCTGTTTAGCTTCAACAGATCCTTCGTTCTTCTGGAAGAGGGCCCTGGTATAAATCTCTTTGCCTATTTGAGTTCACTTATGGCTTCCCAGAGTTTTTGTGATTTCTGTTCATCCAGTCCCTGACCGCTTTCTTGACAACTCAAGTTGAGATTCCGCAAGATGGTTCAGGTCCTGTGAGCTGATATTCAGATCCTGTTCTTCCCAATTGATCTGGTGGGGGTGGTAATGACGCCATCCTCAGTGAGGTTGGCCGAGCCATGGCTGTGTCTTTGGTGGGGATGTATCATAGACCAGGGATGTGTTGGGACACAGCTTTGGAGCACCCCCTCGTGGTACCGCCAGACAGTGACAGTCTTGGGGGTCTGGATCAGTATGACCTTCTGGGACTGGCAGCTGAGTTTCCATAAAGGGCGATGGCTATGAGACCGGAGCCCCCCCGCTGCAGCATAATGACTCTTGGGTGTCACTACAGTGTACCTGGGATGAATGCGGGAGAGCACTCCTATGGGGGTAGCTATGGCTATTTGAGTTGTCTCCCTAGAGTACCGGTAAGGTGCCGCAAGCCTTAGGGCTCAACACTCTAAAATGGTTTGACCAACCCATGTAGGGGGTGGGAGTGGGGAAGTTCAGAAGCAACCCCAGGGGCAATAAATCTCGTGTAGGATGCCCTGGTTGCAACCTCATGACTAACTCATATCACAATCCCATTTATCATCTGGGATACCCCTTTCCCCGCGAACAGACACTTTTGGTCCTGGAGGCATGTGAGGTTTGCATTTTACAGGACCATACCACCTAAGCCAAGGTGTGAGGCATCATGCTGAGGGCTACATGGCACTGGGGTGGAAATTAGCCAGTGTCTTGAACGATCCCTTCGGGGCACCCAGCAGCACCCCGTTGTATTTATGCCTTCCATCCATATGGGGTGCTGCGGGTGGTGACCCTTTAAATCCCCATAACTCGTGGAACCAAAATGAAAAGAACCAAACTAAAAACTGGTCGTAAGGACCTTAAAATGAAGAGGGACCCCCCTTCAAGGGGATCCCTATGGGAAATGCTTCAGCATGGGGCTGGAAGCTCTGGTGAACCATTGAGGGGCCCAGTTACAACCAGCAAACCTGCTGTTGAAATTTCAGACAAAGGCGACGATGAACCAGTGGTTCAAAATCCTGCCAGAGGTAAAATCAAAAAGTACTCTCCGGGGGGTCAGTAGTACTGACACATCACTGCAAGGAGCTAGTCTAACATACCTGCAGCAGGAGAAGGACTGGGACACCTAGTCTCTGGAGTAGGTGAACCCCATCTGGCGAAGGAAACTTTGTCTGGATGCACTAGACGGAAGTTAAAAAGGCAAGATCTGAGGCAAGCAAAGCAAGAACTGGGAGCAGTCAGCAACCAGGTAATGCAGGCTCATCCAAACAGGAAGAAACTCCCACCATCACCTTTAAAAGCCAAGGTTGGAGGGCAGTACCCCTACAGATACAGCCAGAACTCCGAAAAGGCCCAGGGACTTAGAAGGAGGCTCTGACCAATATAAAGGACACTTATCCTGAGGATAAGCTTATCAAAGAAGACCAAAATTCCATTCTGGAAGCATTGGAGGAGGTGTTACGTAGGACTCCAAAGGGAGAACTTCCACACCTGAAATCCTACAGACTAGTGAGAGGGGCACTTATCTATGTATGTGTCGACCAACAGTCTGGTCAGTGGCTCACCAATGCCATTGACAAACACAGGCTGGAATTAGGGGCCAGGCTGAAGGTTACTGATGCCAAGAACCTGCCCAAGCCTGTTAAAGTGGCTCTCCAGACTAGGGAAAAAATTGCCCTGAATCAGGAAGAGCTGCTGAAATGGATTGCAAACCTTAATCCAGGACTTCATACTGAAAACTGGAGGGTACTTGATAAGCAATCTGAGTCAAAAGGCCAAAGGCTCATTTTATTCATTGACCGGGACTCCTATACTACTATACAGAGGACCGGTTACAAAATATTTACAGGACTCTCACAGGGGACTGTTAAGGTGCTAGATGATCCTGAAGTTCAGCGCCGGGTAGAACCTGCGACAGATACTGTATCTTTTAACTCGGTCTGAGGAGGAAAGGGATGAGATACCCAACCCCTAGATGACCAAAGCAAAGACGATCTGGGGACCCCTTCACATGGAACCCAATCCGAGGATGGAGAGGGACATACAATGGAAATTGACCCCACCCCAATTGGAAGAGATCATGAAATTTCTTCAAATAAACTTACACTACAGCAAAGCTCTCACGGTAGCTCTGTGCCAACAACTAGCTGAGGGTAAGGCAGATATAGCACTTATTCAGGAACCTTGGTTATACCAGGGTCAAACAAGGGGCTTGACTAACACACGTGGAACAGTTTATTCTGCTGTACCCAGTAATAATGCAAGATCTTGTGTTTACATCGGGAAACATATTAATGCCTTGCCTTTGCAGGAGCTCCATTCTAGGGATACAACGGCAGTAAGGATAACATACCCGCATCGAGGAGGCAGCAAGGAGCTGATTGTTGCTTCAGTCTACCTTCCATATGACTCGGATGAACCTCCACCTACTAAGGAGATGAGGGACATCATAGACTACTGTTTAGCAGGAAGAAGGAACTCATTATTGGGTGTGATGCCAACGCGCACCACATATTGTGGGGGAGCACCGGCACTAACCCAAGGGGAGAGAGCCTTATGGAATTTCTGATGAATCTGAACTGGAATATTCAAAACGATGGTAACGAACCTACCTTTGTGGTTTGCAGTAGGAAGGAGGTTATTGATTTGACACTAGGGACAAATAACATAGAAAACCTGGTAAATAATTGGCATGTATCTGATGAGCCGTCCCTATTGGATCACAGATATATATATATATATATGTATGCTTTCAAATAAGTAACATTACAGTAGATCAAACTACTTATAGGAATCCTAAGAGAACAAATTGGGAGTCTTACAAAGACGAACTAAAGGTAAATCTAGAGACCATCTCGTGAAATATATGCACAATAAAGGATGCTGATAGATCCTTTGACCAGTTACAATGGACAGTTATCTTGTCCTTTAATCGGAATTGTCCAGCTAAGACCACTCGCGGACCAAGGAGAGCGCCTTGGTGGAATAACCAGCTGAGTGAGCTTAGAACCAAAACAAGAAGGCTGTTTAATACAGCTAAAAGAACAGGGCAGTGGGACACCTACAAGGAAGCCCTTACCTGTTACAACAAAGAAATAAGAAAAGCCAAGCGATCCTCATGAAGGAGGCACTGCCAGGAGATCAGTGATGTACCAGGAGGTACCAGACTCATGAGAATTATGGCAAAACAAGCAACTAACAAGGTTAGCACAATTAAGTTGCCCAACGAACAGTATACTCAAACACGAAGGGAGACACTTAATGAATTATTCAGGGTTCACTTTCCTGATTCAAAATTGATTGATAATTTGGACAACGGATAGGGTCAGAAAAACCTGGACACTTGCCAAATCAAGACAAACAGGGCAGACTGGAACCTGGCCAAAGTCATAATTAACCAATCAAAAATCAGACGGGCACTGCATACTTTTAGACCATTTAAATCAGCGGGAACAGATGGAATTGTAGGGGCATTTTTGCAGCATGGGGCAGAACTTTTAGTTCCACACCTATTTCGCATATATAGAGCCTGCATGGTATATAGTTTTGTCCCCATGGCCTGGAGGCAAGTTAATGTGACGTTTATCCCAAAGCCCGGGAAACTTGATTATACTGAGGCTAAGGCTTATCGTCCACTCAGCCTATCGTCTTTCTTGTTGAAAACGATGGAGAAAATAATGGATAGACATATCAGGGACGGGGCTTTGAGGACATATCTTCTACACCGAAACCAGCATGCCTACCAAACAGATAAATCTACCTAAAGGGCACTATATAATGTGGTAACATGCATAGAAAGTGCGATTGAACACAAGGATATTGCCTTAGCAGCATTCCTTGATGTAGAGGGAGCTTTTGATAGAACCTCATTTGATATAATCAAACAGGCAGCTGGAAAGCATGGCATAGAGCCTGCAATATGCAGGTGGACCAGTGCTATGCTGGAAAGCAGAACCATAGCTGCTACATTATCAGTAGAAACCCTGGGGACGTCGGTGTCTAGGGGTTGTCCGCAGGGGGGCGTACTCTCACCTCTGCTGAGGGGACTTAATGATAATGGCTGTTATAAAGTACGATATGCTGATGACATTGCAATCCTCATAAATGGAAAATTCCTTTCGACCATATCAGAGTGTCTTCAAACAGCTCTGTACATGGTCCAATGATGGTGTGAAAGAACAGGTCTTTCCATCAATCCCAATAAGAT